CCACTTGCAGCCCAGCTGTGCTGCCACCCACCCCCCACCTCCACAGCCCAGCTGAGCCATATGCTGGCTCCCAGTCCCTCCCCCTGCAGTCCAGCTAGGCCATATGCTCCCCACTCTGCCTAGCGCTGGTCTCCCAGCCCCCCTCACTCCTGCAGTGCACCAGGACTCTCTGATCCTGGAACATCCGTGGTTCTTCCACACCATGGATGTTGCTGGCCCAGAGAGTTCCAGTTCAAAAAGGTGCAACCAGTATTTCATTTTCCCTCTCCCAGCCCCAGTTCCAAAAGGCACCTGTATCAGGGCTCTTCTGAATTAAGACCTTAGTTTTATTGTTCCCATTTCTCCGAGTTAGCAACTCTGGTAACCCCAAGAGGAGAATTCACTTCCTTTTATTGCCAGGAGTAATCTGTTACCTTTTTGTCATCTTACCTTTTAGTTGCTGGCTTAAAACAGATAATGGCTTTCTGTGGAGTTTTCTTGGACCGGTCTGCCTTATTATTTTGGTGAGTCATTATTTTTCATTTCTGTGGGGAGCCAGAATAATGTCCAGAGTTGTTTTATCAGGACTAACAAAAGGTCTGGAAGGGACATAATACCCCGTTCTTCAGTGTTTTAACCAATCTGTATCTATCAAAGGCCAAAGGGAGACCTTATAAGGGACTGATTTTATCACTTCCTCTGGGCATCTGGTACTGATACAGAGGTAAGATACTGGACCGGATGGACCTGGGGTCTGATCCACTCGACTTGTGTTGTTTCCACAGATGAATTGTACATTTTTTATCACAACCCTCTGGATCCTGAGAGACAAAATCTGCTCCCTCAATTCGGACGTGTCTACCGTCAAAAACACAAGGTATGAAATCACTAACCCTGTCAAGAGGTCCAGTTAGCCTTCTGTGGGGGGATGGGTCTTCTGTCAAGTAAACTAAGGAAATACCTGAAAAACAATGAATAGTCTTTCAGCATCTAGAGACTAGCAATGGTATCATGAGCTTTCGTGGGCACAACCCACTTCCTCAGAGAAAGAAAGCTCATGATACCATCTACATGTTTTGTTAGTCTCTAAGGGTATGTCTACACTAGCCCCCTAGTTCGAACTAGGGAGGCTAATGTAGGCATTCGAAGTTGCAAATGAAGCCCGGGATTTAAATATCCCAGGCTTTATTTGCATCTTCCAGTCCGGGCGCCATTTTTAAATCCCCCTAGTCCGAACTAACTGCCCGTGGCTACACGCGGCAGTCAAACGTTAACTCGAACTAAGTCCTTAGTTCGAGTTAACTGTTACACCTTTCAGTCAGTCAGAGCGTTATAGAAATCTGTGTTGGACGAGATGGGATTGGCTAATCTAACCCTTGTTCCTCAGATGTCTCTCCTCTGGAGTGTGGTTATAGAAGTCCCTTTGGGATTGTTCCCCAGTGTGCTGCTCATGCCACTGACACCCACCTTCTTGCTCTCTGGGGCTCTTCACCACTCTTTAGCACAGAGTTGGGGTTACTGCCCCCTTGCAAACCAATGCAGACACTGAACCACTTCAGCTCTTGGGGGGATGCAGTTTGAGCACTCGGCGCCCAGGAAACCAACCCCCAAATGGGACCCAAACCCCTCAAATAAATCCACTAGTGTTTGTTCAGTCTAGTTTGGTGCCTTCTGCCAGACACAATTGATACAGTGAGGAAAACTGCACAGAGATTTCCTGGTATCTGATTTCTAAATCTGTGTTTGCTGGAAGAGCTGAACATCATGGTAGCTGAGGCTTATAACTGGCCCAGTGAGAAGAGACCCGATTTGGGTCTAATTCTGCCTGCATTAACATCCTTGCCATTTCATTGATTTCAGCAGGGCCGTATAATGGATGTGAGGAGAAAACTAGGCCCTAATGTTTACATGGAAAGGTGCAGGTCCAGCTGGGGAGGAGAAATCAGTCCCTGCCCCAAGGAGTTTACAGTCTAAATGGCCAATATTAACACTGGCTTGCCTGACTTATTGGTTAGGTTACTGATTTAGTTTTCCCAATTAACAGTTTGTCATTGATGGGTTTTTATTTTAAGATTCAGCCTGGTGTTATCAGAGTTACTGCTCTGACCAGGGTAAGGCCGTGGTCACTGTCATGATTGGGAGGGGGTGGGGAAAGGAAGGAAGGTAAGTGTCTGTGAATTGATGATATTAGAGGTAGGGAGAGTGGGATGTTTGTGAGTTAATGGTATTACAGGTGATAATTGGGGAAACTGTCTTGGTAATGGGTGAGAAAGTTCAAAGACTTGTTAAGTCCTTGTTGGTAAGTGTCGAATTTTAACATGAATGACAGTTCAGAGGATTCCCTTTCAAGTGCAGATGTAAAAGGTCTTTGTAGCAGAATGCAGGTGGCTAAGTCATTTAGAGAGTGTCCTTTCTGGTTAAAGTGGCAAGAAACTGTTTTCTCTTTGTGATCTTGTCTAATATCTGTTTTGTGGGCATTAATCCTTTGGCGAAGTGTCTGAGATGTTTGTCCAATGTACATAGCAGACGGACACTTTCAGCACATGATAG